TGACTCGGAGGCCTCACTGGCTGTGGGACCCATCTGGGTAGGCTTTGGACGGAGTAAGGGGATAAAGCACCATGTACTTCTCTGCCCCTAGCGACCTGCTTAGAGGGCTAGGGATGACGTGACTACAGAGGGGCTCATAGCAGGGTCCCCAAGAGGCCTCAGGTCAGGTTCCAGGGCGTTTGTTTCTCACCTTTTACAGTATCTGCACAGCAGAGCAGAAACGACTGGCAATTACCCAGTGAATTTTGGCTGTGAAGACAATACTTCCAGCCAAAGGCTCTTGGATCTGAAATCCTCAGATAACCAGCCATGTAGATGTGTATAAAGTACTCAAGGTCCTAATCCCCAAACCTTGTGAACAGGCAGGAATGGCTACGTTGGCTGAGTGTGTTGCAAACCACACAGCTTTATTTCAGCCGATTCAGGCGGCACCCCAGAGTTCAAGGGCTCAGTCAGGGATAGCCTAACCTGGCGGTCTTCTGTTCTAGGATGAAAAACTTATTTAAAACCAAACAAAACAACTTTAGAAAATAATAATAATAATAAACCAGAGTGGGAGGGAAGTCCTTCCATGAAATGGCTGTTTATAAACAGGGCAGTGTGGAAATAACACTAGCTTGGAATCAAGAGACCCAGGTACTGTATGAGGCTCTGCCTCAAACCAGCTGTAACCTTGGGCATGCCATTCAGTTTTTGGGCCTGGCTTCCTCATCCAAAGCATTGAGCACTGTTACTCTGTGAGGCTCTTTACAGAGGCAAGTGTAACAGACATCCCCAGCGTTCGCCATCAAGTCCATCCCACGTGCACATTTGGTACCATTTCTCTTCCTGATGAAAACCACGAAAGGCCGGGAGGAAATCCCAGGAATATGTTTTAGACAAGTCCAGCATCTCTGGCCATCTCGTAAAAGATGCCTCTAGCTGCAATGAGGTTAGTTGGAGAGTCGAATTCAGCTACTACTCCTTTGTCCAGGACCAGGACCCTAGCCAAAAAAATGAAATAAGTGGTCAGGTTTCCATCAGCCCCATCCTGGCACACAGTCCCATCTTGCCCTTCTGGGCACTGCCCAGGCCCTGCAGTGACGTGCCAGCCCACCCACTGCAGCCAATCCACCCAACAGCCACCGTGCCGCATGTGCATGCTTGCATGGCAGGTTATTTTAGCTGCTCTGTTAGCTCTCCTGGCAAATGAAGCAGTTTCAGGGATCAAACGCAAGGTCCTATTCATCCCTGCTAGTTGGGGCTCCAAACACCTTCCCTAATGAGCCCTTCCCCTGGCTGGGGTCACAGGACTTCAGCAGACAGAGCGCAGGGAGCCACGGGCCTGTGCGCTGGGCCCTGTGCACATCCATCTGCTTTGTGCCAGCTCACAAAGGCACACGGCAGGAAACCGGCTGCAGCGAGGCCTGACACTGGAATCTGGGACTTGGGCTGCAAACCTGGCTGCGGCTGCTGCTGCTGGGTCACCCCACCTCCCCTACCCTCGCACACGCAATCAGGTTGGGGCCTGGGCTTAGGCTGGGTCTCTCACGTGAGGGATAGGAGAGGGCTCTCCCAAGCCTGAAGAGATGGAAGAGGCAGGCTACACTTTGCTTCACCACTGAGGAGGCTCCCAGAAATGGGTCTTGGGAAGAAGTTTTTCTTTTTTCTTTTTTTTTTTTTTTCAAGAGAGGCTTTTGATATAGGGCACATGTGCTTGCCAGAGAGAGAGTCGGAAAGCAAGAAATCACCCCCCAGCGGGGATGGCCACACTACAATCCCTTCTCCATTCTCCTCTCAGGACTTTGGGCACACATACAACACACGCCCACTGTCAGTTTTAAGCCGCCAGGTCCAAGACTCAAACCGAAGTCAACCACATGGGAGTCCAGTGATATAACCATTATGCCATCTGCTGGCCCTGGGAAGAAGTGTTTCTGTGGACACCACTGCCCAGGAGACTGCTCCCGGCCTCTCACATCAAAGTCCTCGATGGTGGGGCCAGCAGGTGGCATGGTGGTTAAGAACTGGGTTCCCCTTGGGACCAGCAGTTGGCGTAATGGCTATGTCGCTGGACTCCCATGTAGTCAACTACAGTTTGAGTCCCAGACCCGGTGGCTTAAACTCACGCTGGGCATGTGTGAGTGCATGCCCAAGATCCCGAGAGGAGAATGGAGGAGAAAGGACTGTGGTATGGCCATCCCCTCTGGGGGGTGATTTCTCGCCTTCTGTCTCTCTGTTTCTATCTTTCTGGTGAGCACATGTGCCCTATAGCAAAAAACTTCTCCAAAAGAAAAGAACCGGGTTCCCACATGGCTGACCAGTTTGAGTCCCAGACCCAGTGGCTTGAAAATCATGCTGGGTATGTATGCATGTTTGTCCAGGGTCCCAAGAGGGGGTGATTTCTCACTTTACCTCTCACTGGAGAGCACACGTGCTTTATGGGGGAAAAAATCCTCAGTGACTTCATGTTACACTTTGCCTTGAGTCTCAAAGTGCAACTGGCGGAGTCTGTTCTCACCCTCTCATCTCAGTTCTACAGCCGCAGGAATCCACCTGCCTCAGGACATGCGCTGCATCCTCAACTCCCTCCCGACCTCATTTTCCCACTTTACCGCGCAACTCTTTTTTTTTTTTTTGGAGAGGTTTTTGCTATAGGGTGCATGCGCTTGCCAGACAGACAGAGAGAGACAGAAAGCAAGAAATCACCCCCCAGAGGGGATGGCCATGCCGCAATCCCTTCTCCTCCATTCTCCTGTCGGGATCTTGGGCATGCACGCACATGCGCCTGGCGTGAGTTTAAGCCACTGGGTCCAGGATTCAAACTGCAGTCGACTACGGGGGAGTCCAGCAACATAGCCATTACGTTAACTGCTGGTCCCACCGCGCAACTCTTACTCAGTTTTTTCCTTAGAAAGTGCCTGCTGCCCTGGTGCATAGGCTTCCTCTGGTCTACACCTGGAACCTTGCTTCCTCCCAGCAGGCTCTAATTACACATTCTGTAGTGTGATTATTTGATCAGTTCCTGCCTGCCCCACTTGAATGCATGAACTCCCAACCCCCAAGGTCCTCCAAGCATCCCACCGCAGGGTTAGCCCTGGGGACGTATGCCCTTACAGATGCCCAGCCCTGTCCCTCCTCTAGACCCAGTGCCCGGCACGTCGGCTCACTCTCTTGTCCTCCTAGTGGGGCCCTGGGTGGGAGTGGCGGAAGTGGGGTAGGGATGGACCAGGCAGAGGAAAGCAGCAGAATTTTTAGCTTGGCTCCCAAGGCCCTCCTGGCCATTTGGGGACACTTCTGAGAGAGAAATGAGCTCTGACCCATTACTCTGTCCCTGGTGCCCTCTCTACCTCCTGCCCCTTCCAGATAGCTCAGGGAGCCCAGCAGGCGCCCTTGCCCGGGTTTCCAAGTCCCACCTGGTATAGTCCATGATCGTGTTAAGCCGGTGCGCGATGGTCAGCACGGTGCAGGCTTCAAACTGGCTGCGGATAGTAGCCTGGATGAGGTCGTCGGTCTCCAGGTCAATCGCGGCCGTGGCCTCATCTAAAACCAGGATGCGGCTCTTGCGGAGCAGGGCTCGGGCCAGGCACACCAGCTGCCTCTGGCCCACGCTGAGAATAGGGAAAGCAAGTATTTCACAGCTGGAGGCACCCAGCCTGACTCTAAGCCTCGCCCCCAGACCTGTCTCCACTCCTCAACAACCCGGAGCTGGCTTTTTGTCTGACCTCTCATTTCTGCTCTGCCCTCCAGGAATACAGAGATCTGGACACCCCAGAGATAATGAGGGGCCTTGAGGATAGAGCCAAGGCTGAACACCATTGTGAGACCCTAGACTGTTTTGGGCAGCCTAGTCTCCTCTCTCTGTGTTTTCATCCCCACCCTTGTTCTTCAACTAGTCCCACGATGCTTTTCTGCTTCCCTCGATCAGTTATTTACACTTCAGTAAGAACCTACCTAAAAGGCTCTTTCTGCATATTGGAATCTTTTTTTCTTTTTCTTTTCTTTTCTTTTCTTTTCTTTTCTTTCTTTCTTTCTCTCTTTCTTTCTTTCTTTCTTTCTTTCTTCCTCTCTCTCTCTCTCTCTCTCTCTCTCTCTTTCTTTCTTTCTTTCTTTCTTTCTTCCTCTCTCTCTCTCTCTCTCTCTCTCTCTCTTTCTTTCTTTCTTTCTTTCTTTCTTCCTCTCTCTCTCTCTCTCTCTCTCTCTCTCTTTCTTTCTTTCTTTCTTTTTTTTTTTTGCCATAGGGTGCATGTGCTCACCAGAGAGACAGACACGGAGAGAGGGAAAAATGAGAAATCATCCCCCAGCGGGGATGACCACACTGCAATCCCTTCTCTTCCACTCTCCTCGCAGGATTTTGGGCATGCACGTACACACACCTGAATGATCTTCAAGCTGTCGAGTCCAGGACTCATGCCTTAACCGCCACGCCCCCTGCTGGCCCCCATATATGCATTTAAGTCACTCTGGGCCATCTTGCTGGGCCTAATAGTATGTAGTTTAGGCCGTCATCTCCCACCCTCCTGGGAAATACAGACCAGGCTGTTCTGGGACAAGGAAAGGGCAGAGCAGGGGAGGATCTGGGGACTTCCTGTGTCCGATCACTGGGGAAGCAAAGCAGGGGAGGGAGGCATACCTTCAACCTCCCGCCTTGGAAGCCAGCGCACCAGCGGACAAAACGAGGCTGTGTTCCCAACCACAGAGGCCACAGCACCCCCCCACCCAAGGACAAATACCTCAGCCCTTCCCAAAGGGGTGAGTCACCACAGCCGGAGCGAAGGCCAGCCTCATTCCCTGGTCCTTTCCCGCAACTAATGAAGGTTTTGGCAGCAGAAGGAGCCGCCAGATAGAACGCAGGGCTGATTTATGGCGGGACTGGCACAGGATACAGGTTACACTTAAAGTGGCTCTGGGCTCAGTGGAGGAGGGGGAGCTGATTCCTGCCTCTGATCCCGGTGGGGGTGGGGTGGGGGTGGAAGAAGCGCAGCTAGCCAGCAGGGTCTCAGAGACTGGACCCAGAGACAGCTGCAGGGCGCAGGGTCTGGAGAGCCAACTTCCCCAATGGGGTTATGTCAGGGAAATCGAGTTAAAGGTGCACATTTAGTCTTAGAGGGTGGACTGGAATGACGGTAGGAGCAGAAAATAAATCTCCCCCTCTGTCTGGATGAGGGAAGCAGCAGTGATGCATCAAGAAAAGGTTTGGGACAAAAGCCCCACTTCCCTGAGTCCCCGCCCAGCCCCATGCTCGCTGTGTCGCTTTGGGCATGTTATTTCATATGAGAGGCCCCCACGTCCAGCCCACAGGACTGCAGTGAAGATTAAACGAGGCAGTGAGGCTTTACATACTAAGCGCTGAGCAAAGGTAACAGTTCTTGCTTTCTTTTTTGAGGTCCAAGGGAGGGTCCACAGGTCTGGATTGAATATAAAATGGAAAGGAGAAGGGGAAGGAGAGGGGGTAGCTGACACTGCAGGAATATGTCCACGCCAAATACTTCTTAGTGCATCACAGAGACCCCACGACTGCTCTGCTCAGATGGCAGCCACTGGCCACAGGTGGCTATTAAGCACTTGAAATGTGCCTCGTCAGGGCTGGCCTGTGGTGTGGGGGTTAAGGCAGCTGGATCCCACATGGCTAACTGAGCGGTTTGAGTCCCAGACCCAGTGGGTTGAAAATCATGGTGGGTGCTTGGCGATGCATGCCCAAAATCCCAAGAGGAGACTGGGAGAGAAGGGATTGCAACATGGCCATCCCCTCCAGGGGGTGATTTCTCACTTCCCCTCTCTCTTTGCACCCATCCTATAGCCAGACTCAACTAAAACCAAAACAAAAACTTGGGATGGGAGGAGAGAAGGGCCTGCCGAGCTCATTTCGTCCTCTCCTAAACCACAGGCTGGATCGTGTCCATCTGACAAAATGTCTACGATTTCTCTGGAGCACTGTGGGCCTCCTCGCACCTCTGCAGGCGCCATCCAGAACCATTCTCCCCAGCCTGCACCTAGCATTGCTGACTTAACATGACGCTTCTAAACAGGGCTTTGAATCTCCCAACGTGGCTCAAATCCCAGGCAGGCCTTCTCTCAGCTGGGTAACCTTGGCCAAGCCCCTTACCCTCTCTGAGCCTCAGTTTCTTCACTGGGATCCCCCTGGAGCTCTCCTGATCACAGCCAAGGGGCGGGAGGGAAGGAGGGGCTGGCCTGACTCTGTGTCATTCGCTGCCAGACCCTTCCAGCACCTGTAGGGGCTCCCCAAGGGCTGTTCTTCCTGCTGCAATGCTCCCAGCTGGTACCTGAGATTTTCCCCACCATCCGTGCACTGGAAGTCCAGGCCTGCTGGTTGGGAGCTCACGAACTTGTGCAGATGTGACAGCTCCAAGGCCTGCCAGAGGTCCTCCTCCAAGTACTTGCCCGAGGGGTCCAGGTTCATACGCAGGGTACCCGAGAACAGGATGGGGTCCTGGGGACACAACGAGCCCTCAGAGGGAGGCCGCGCAGGCCCGTTTGGAAACCCAGGGGGAAAGAGAGGGATTAGGTGACCACATTCTCACTGTGCCCCAGCCCTCGAGGCAGGGCCCAGGAGAGAGAAGATGGCCTTGCGGGGAGGGATGAAGCGGCTGCCAGTCGCCCAGTCCCTGCTAAGGCAGGAACCAGAGCACTGATCTGACTCCAAAGTGCCCCGTCAGCAGAAAGCAATACTCCAGAAGAGCCAAAAAAAAGTGAAATGGATTCCAGGGCTGTGCGACAAGGAGACCACGACAGACCCTTTCGGGGGATGGGGTGCCTAGAGGGGTTCCCATTGGTTGGCCTGGGAGGTCAAAGGCAAGGCCTGACTTGGGTGGCTCCTTCGGGGCTGTGCTCCTTGCTGTCTGCCCTGCCGCTTCCCAGCAGTGTCCCAGTCTCAAGCCTCAAGCTATAGGACACGGGCGGGGTGCCCCCACTCCCCCCACGGTCCTCGTCCTGCTGCCACCTGGGGGATGATGGTGAGCCGGGATCGCAGGTCGTGGAGCCCGATGTCTGCCACATTGAGGCCGTCGATGCGGATCTCACCCTCTGCTGCCTCCAGGATGCGGAACAGGCAGAGGGTCATGGAGGACTTGCCAGCTCCGGTGCGGCCCACAATCCCCACCTGGAGGGGCAGGGCGGGGAGGTTGTCAGGGGGCAGCTGAGAGGACGCGGGGGCATCTCTGGGACTCCTCAAGAGGCTCAGCAGATGTCCCGTGGGAGCATCTGCTCTCTGGAAGCCTGGGCTCCCCAGCAGGGCTGTGGCCACGTGCCAGGCACAGGTATGCCTACCTTCTCACCACCACGCACGTGCACACTCAGGTTTTTCAGCACCAGCTCCAGGCCTGGCCGGTAACGCACGGAGTAATTCCGGAACTCCACCTCGCCGCGCAGGGGCCAGTTACTGGCCGGGGTGGTGCCCTCTACCACCCAGGGGGCCTGGTGGGGAAAAGCGGGGAGCAGACGACTTCTCATCAGCTACTTCTTCCCCAGTCTGGCCCGCTCCCATTTTCCAGTCTCCTTCTCTCCCAAAGCCTCAATCCCCATCCACTAGGGTCCCTGAGGGAGCATCCCTGGCACCCAGTGGCTCCGCCTTGTGGTTCACAGAATCCTTCCTTCAGCCCTCCGACTATATCCCCCACAGAATCAGTTCACAACTTCTCTACCCTGCTCCTTCTCACCCTTCCTCATGCCCCATGTTCCTGGTTCCGTCCATACCTGCCCTAGCTCTCCTTTCATCCTGCTTATTTATTCTTTTTTTTTTTTTTTGAGAGGTTTTTGCTATAGGGCGTGTACACACACCAGAAAGACAGAGACAGAGAGACAGAAAGCGAGAAATCACCCCCCAGGGGG